GTGGTCTGGTGGCAGGAGTGGGCGCTCTCAGTGGCGCAGACTGGCTTCCTCTCCACATGAAAGAGAAAAGAAAAGGAAAATGGAGGCCGACCGCAGTGGACCAGCCATGGGGGCCGCCACAGCCTCCTGGGTTTCCCAGGGCTTCAGCAAAGCCAGGTTGGGAGGAGTTTTGGGGGCGGGGCAGGGGGCAGGTGGGGGAACAGGAAGGGAAGTTCCCTTTGGGGCCTGGTGTCCATATCCTGCAGCGGGTTCTTTGATTTTGGGTTTTTTTTTTGTTTTTATTTTTTGGGATTGAACTCAGGGGCACTCCAGCACTGACCACACCCCAGCCCTATTTTGAATTTTCTTTAGAGACAGGGTCTCACTGAGTTGCTTAGTGCCTCCTTTTTGCTGAGGCTGGCTGTGAACTCGAGATCCTCCTGCCTCAGCCTCCCCAGCCAGTGGGATTACAGTTGTGGGCCACCGCACCCTTCCAGATGGTTCTTTTTTTTTAATATTTATTTTTTAGTTTGAGGTGGGCACAATATCTGTCTTTCTCATTTACGTGGTGCTGAGGATCCAACCCAGTGCCTCGCACCTGCTAGGCGAGCACTCTACCACTGAGCCACTTCCCCAGCCCCAGATGGTTCCTCTTCAGAACCTGAAACCAACCTGGACAACCCTCTGCGAGCTGGGGGTGGCTCACTGGACCTTGGAGGCGCGCAAGCTCCAGGCTCTGGGTGCGACCCCCAGGGCCCCCAAAACCACATAAAACAAAACAGGCAGGGAACACTCTGCCTCTGCCTCTGGCGCCCCCACTTCCTACTCCTGGGCCTCCCCGGGGTGATTCTGGGCCTTTCCCTGGCTGTCTCGGAGACCAGGGGCACTTGATTTTCCCCAAGCTGTCTTCTTCCCTCCCCACAACACCCTTTTCAGATCTCATTGTCTCTGCTGCCAGAGTATATGCTGCAAGAGACAAGAATGGCCACAAGGGGGCAGCAGGGGCCTTCCTCCCGCACACTCTTTAAGAACTTCTATAAAAGGAAGGAAGGAAGGAAGGAAGGAAGGGAGGGAGGGAGGGAGGGAGGAGTTTTTCTTATTTTGCAACACTGGGATACAACCCAGGGCTTTATGTATGCCAGGCGAATACTCTACCACTGAGTCACATCCCCAAGCCTTCAAATAATTTTATTTTATTATTTTTTTGGAGACAGGCTGGAACTTACAATCTACCTGCCCCTGTCTCCAGGGCTGCTGGGGGCACAGGTGCGCACCACTGCTCAGGCGACTTATTTATTGAGTTGTTGATGGGCCTTTATGGAACTTAGTTACTCACGTGTGGTGCTGAGGATCCCACTTGTCTAGCATGCTAGACTCCAGCCCCAACTTTTGTTTTTAAAGCATATGTGCAGTACCCAGCGAGGTGGCTGGCCAGGAGGCTGACCCAGGAGGATTACTGAGGCCCTAAGCAACTTAGTGAGACTCTGTTTCCAAACAACTCTAAACAAAGAAGGGCTGGGGATGCAGCTGTGGTAAAGTGCCCTGGGATCAATCCCTAGCAACACGCCCCCCTCCCCCCCAAAATAAGGTTGTGGTTGTGGTTGTAGATCAGTGGGAGAGCGTTTGTCTAGCCGTGTGGAAGGCTCTAGGTTCCAACCACAGCACCAGGGGGAAAGAGTTATCAGGGGAGAAGCGGGGATGGGGGAACTGATAGGGGGAAGTTGTCTGGAGTTAGCAGAATGTGCTCA